TTGTTCAGATATAAAATGATATAAAATGATTAAATAAAATGATAAATAATTTTAAGTGATATAAAAATACAATATATATTTGTTATTGTTTGTTGAAATTTCTATTTAAATAAATATCAAATTACACTGATGTTGTTCTGTAATAATAATAAATTTAATTATTAAATATATGAATTCAACTAATTTATTATAACTGTTATTTTGTTGATTCTCAAAAGAGTAAAACAATTTAAATTCATCAATGAATTTTATCATAATTTATTTATTAGTTATGTTTAATCTTATGAATTTGTTTGTTCATGTTTTTATATAACTTTCTTCATTTGAATTGATCTTTTCATTTATTCTCATATTATTTAATCTTCACTTAAATCACTGTTCATTTTTTCTTTTAAAATTAAATGATATTAATAAATCATCATTGTGTTATTATTACTTCATTCTATTAACAATATCAATACTTTTTGATTATAATTTATATTCTTGAAATTAAATAAGATATATTGTTATATAGTGTTATTCTTTATAAACTTCGGTATTCCTTATTTATTTATTATTTATTCATTCTTATAATATCATTATCTTATTAACTCATCCATTTATTTATTAAATACAATTATTATTTCTAATAACTATCAACTTATTTCTTCATTAATACTTTCTTCATCACTAAAAACTTATATTCATCATTAATTGTTTATCTATTTTATTAAATTAGTTTTATCACAGAAGATAATTGATGATTTATTCAATATTTATTGTTTCTTTTTAATATCTAACAAAATCATATTAAACAAAATGATAGAATTCAATCAAATATGATTTAATTAATAATTTATATTTCATCATGTTGAGAATTGAATAATTAATTTTCTTCAATATTCTTTATTTCTAATGAATTGAAGTATTTTCAATTATTTTCAATTGAAATGTTTTTTTAATTTGTTATTTGTATTTTAATTTAAAATTAATGGGTATTGAAATGGTTATTGTTCATAATATTACTTAAGAAGTATCATTATGATTATGTTTCATCTTCTTTAATATTAACAACTAGAAGAATCAATTTAATTGTTAATAATATTTCATATTCAATTTTAACTATCATTAATAAATAATATTTCATCATAATAAACAACAGCCATTTGAATCAAATAACATTCTTCAATATTCAATCAACACAAACTATTATAATATTGAATGTTGAATTCTCTTACTAAAGATAATACCATTCAATGTGATACTTATGAATCAAAATCTGATTTCATTTTAATGATAGTATGTATTGTTTCTGACATAAATCATTCAAATAAAATATGAAAAATAAAAGAAAATAGAATGATAATCTTAAAAATAAATGAAGTTGAAATAAAATAAGAATGGAAAATACAACAAATAACAATAAATCAATAATGAGAATAGAATATAATGAAATAATGATAACATCAAAGTATTTTAATGATATTGGTGATTTTATTAATTTAGAAATAGGATTAAAAGATTTTAAGGAAATATTGAACAATTTCATTTTAATTCAATTCACTTAAATCAATATTCAATAAAAATATTTACTAACATTGAAACATTTCATATTTATAATAAATATTATGAAGAATTTAATGATGGAAGAATATTTAAATATGTGATATGTTATATAATAGAATATTCAAGATATTTAAAAGGAAAAAGAAATATATGTAAAAATAAAGTATGTACATGAAGATAGAAAGAAATATTGGAATACAACACCAATAGAAGTTAAATTACTTGGATATTATTGTTTTAAATATTGTAAAGAATTGGTATCAGTAATTGTGTTAACACCAATAGTAAATTAGGATATTGATGTTATTATGGATATCTTTCATTAAAATCAAACACCATTCAAACATCAGTTAGTATACAGGAGAGTATTGTTTTCGTTGACCATTTATTACCATCTGTTGCTATTCATTCATCAATTATCATTTTGATGAAATGTTTTAGTAAATGATGAAGTAAGAAGAATTAAAGAAAAATGATAAAACACAAAGAAAGTGTTTCTGACAAATGATAATAAATGAAATGATAAAACAAAAACACAACAAATGAAATATAATCTCATTTGAAGTAGAAATATATTGTAAATGATTATATTTTATTCTTTTTCATTTCTCTTTGTTATCACAATAAAAAGAGAGAATTCAAGAAGAAATTAAGGAAAAAAACAAAAGATAATAAAAGAAGAAAGAAATAAAATAAGATTAATTGCAATATAACTTCAATACATGAATTACCAAACACATATAACATTAAATTAATTAAAGAATTAAAAATGAAATTAGTGTCATAAAAGAAGCCAAAAACTTATAATTAAAATGAAAAAGATTTCATAGAACATTGCTTTTAGCAAAAGTAAACATACGTATTTGAATTGGTTTTAATAAGACATGAATAAATAAACAAATTCTCTCAAGAATTAATTAAATGGTTTTTATTTCAATTAATATCATCTTTTGTTTCTTATCAAAATTTAACTATAAATACAAATCAAAATGAGATTAATGGGAATAAAATAGTTAATTAATAAAATGAAAGTGGTAAACAAAAATAATAAATGCAGACAACCAAAATCACTAAAAATAACTTTGATATAATTTAAAAATATCATAAATTAATTAACAAGTTTGTTAATGTTTTGTTTCTGTTTCATTGTTATTAACATTTTATTAAATAAATCTATATTTTAATTGAGAATTCGTTTCATAACATTTCATATTTAAAGCATCTAAAATTGTCAATAAAACATTGAACAAGCTACTAAAGAAGAAATGAATTATTGAAGAAGAAATAAGCTATTGAAGAAGAAATAAGCTATTGAAGAAGAAATAAGCTAGTGAAGAAGAAATAGAAAAGAAGAGTGACTTAAAAGAAATAAGAAGACATAGTAAGAATACTAAGTTTAGTAATGATGTAATGATGCTAAATAAGAATTAGTAACAATACATTAGTATTAAAAGTGGTATTAACTAAAGAAAAGAATAAAGAGATATAGAAATAAAGATAAAGAAAAATAAAATAGAAGAAATCAAGAAAAGGAAACAAAGAATTAAAAATTAATATACTACTAAATGATTATTAAACATCGTATTATATTATTATATAACATATTACATTTCTTCTATTTTATCATTATTTAGATAATTAGAAATTATTTAATATATTATTTACTTAATTCTTTTATATTTTTTATTTGTTAATTTCTTTTGTTTTAATATTTCATATTTGAATCTTTTCTTTTATCTCTATTATTTATTAAGTATTTTATTTTTATTCTTTTTTCTATTTATTTATTATTTATTTCTCTTGTATATTTCTTAGATTCTTTTCTTTATTTTCTTTATTTCTTAATTTATCTTATTCTTTTCTTTGTTTCTTCTTGTATTTCTTCTCCTTTATTCATTTTATCATTTCTTATTATTTTGTATTTATTTCTTTATTTCTATTTTCTTGTTATTTTATTTTATATTTCTTTTGTTATATTTCTAATTAATTTATCATTGAGATATTAATATTTCATTCTTTATTCTTCTTCATTATTGTTTTTCATTTACTTATTCTTTATGATTATCATAATATTTCAATTTATCTCTTTTATATTATTTTAACATTATGTATTTCATTTTTATTTATCTTTCTTTTTATGTTATTACTTTGTCATCATTTTAATTTTAATTATCGTTTATTTATTGTTTCTAATCCAATTATCATTTATTTGTTAAATGTTATTTTGTTTATTTTCTGTATATTTCTTTTATCATTCATGGTTTATATAGTTATTTCATCTTTTATTATTTAGTGTGTTATTTCAATTTATTTTCATTTATTTGAAAATATACATTATTTGTTCAATTCTTATAATTAATGAATGGATAATATGAACACTATTTGATAATATTTAGTTAAGAAATGAAACAATATATTGATCTATTTCAAATAATTTAATATTTGAATCCCATTTATATTCAATTGTATTTTTCTCAGTCAAAATAGGTTCTCTTTAAATTCTGATATCTTTAAATTAACATGAACAAAACCAAACTCATTAATTAATTTTAAACTGAATAACAGAAATATCAATAACTCAAATAATAAAATAATTTCATTTTTATTGAAAATAAATAATGATTATGTGTTAATATTATAAATGAACACAAAATAATGATTCAATTATACTCATAATTTAAAACACAAATAGTAAATTAATGCATTATAAAAATAGTCAATACAATATTATTAACAAATGAGTTAAACTGATTAAATATGAAATAACATTAATCATTAAATACAATAAATAATCAATCATTTATATTTATTTCTGATAACATATCAACCAAAAGAAAATTTTATTTGAATATGTTAAAAATGAATGATATAATTGAAATAAAGTTAAATGTTTGTAACAGACTCATCTATTTCTTTGTTTCATTCATCAACTTTGATTTATATTTAATAAGATAAAATACAACACAATAAAATCTGATACTCTTAAAATGACATTCTAAACACTAAATTATTAATAAAATGACATTTAATACAAATGATTCATTTGTTAAAAATGATAGAAACATGAAAGTATGAAATAGATTAAGAAATATACAACTAACTAAATGAATATTGAACTTATTTGAATATTTACAAAAAAAGAAAACAAAAGTTTATAATGGATAAGTAACAAACTAATTGTATGAAACAACAAAAATAAATAAATAAAATAAATGAAAAAGAAAGTTCAGTTTAAGTAAATTGAAAATATCATAAAATTATATGAAATGGACTTTTTTAATCTTATAACAATTGAATAAATAACACCCAATTAATAAAAATCAAACAACAACACATTTGTTTGATGAATGCTGATTTTCAGATTGAATTGTCTGAGTTTCAAATTTGGATGGATTTTCAGTGATAAATTGATTAATTGTTTTGAAATAAAGATCAAATAATTGAGAATCATCACTTAAATCAAATTCATAGTGTTTGATTTGATATTTTAAAGAAAGTTCCATAATTTCTTCATTACTAACTTCCCTTTGTTCTTCACATCCGAATCCAACAAGAACTCCCATTGAATTACAACCAATTCTTTGATTTACTTGCTCAAGGGTTGTTTGAATAAATCTAAATGTTGATGCATCAATTATATTGTATACAAAGTAAATAATGTGTGCATTTGAAATAAATGATTCAGTGATTGTTCTAAATCTTTCTTGACCAGCAATATCCCATACTTGCATTTTAATAAGAACACGATCAATAATAGTTGTAACAAATTTAAAATTAACACCAATTTTTAACAACTTTGTTGAATTTCCTGTCAACTTCATCATTCGTTGTTTTACATCTTGTGAATTTCCAATTAGTAGACTTTTAAGATAAATAGGATTTGAGTTACTCATTTATAGAACTATTAGTTCATTTCAAAAAAATCATTATTGACTTTTATCATTTTCTCTTTTCTTGTTTCATTCTTCAAAAACATCGGATTTGTGATATTATTACTATAGTTTATGAATTATTACCAATAATATGAAAAGAAAGATAGATAAGAAATTAATTAAACAAAAAAAAAGAATAGATGATACATTCTAAGTGTGAAACACCAATAGATCCTTTTAAAATTCTCGAGAAATATTACAAAGAATTACCAATAGCAAAACACATTTTAATTGAACATGGAAAATCTATATATTGTAAATGTGAAGAAGTCAATGCAAAACACCTAGAGTATCATATTAACATGGAATTCATCAAAGAAGTAGCATATCTTCATGATATCGGTATTTTTCTTGTTGATTCTCCACAATTTGGATGTAATGGAAAAGAGCCATATATCAAACATGGAATATTAGGTGCAAATATCCTAAGAGAACTTGGATTAGAGTATCATGCACGTGTTGCTGAAAGACATACTGGATCTGGAATTGATCCAACCCAAATTGTTGAACAACATCTCCCATTACCTACAGATAGAATATTATTACCTAACACAATAGAAGAGAAACTATTATGTTATGCTGATAAGTTCTTCTCAAAATCACATTTAGAAGATACACTAACACATCAAATGATTAGAGAAAAACTTCAAAAACATGGGAATGATGTGATTCAACGATTAGATGATTTGTTTAAAATGTTTGATTAATAACTCTTTGTCTATTATCTTTTTTATTTTTCTTTGACTTTTATCTCACAAAATAAAGATTATTATGTGAATATCATTTCAATAAAGAATATAAATGAAATCTTAAATAATAATTTCAGGAACTCATATGAATAATCTTGTATTAACAATTATTTTTTTTTTGAAGATAGAATGAATGATAAATAAACAAAATAATTTAATTTAAAGTTACCTATCCATCAATAATTATTTATTCAGCATTACTAAGTATAAACTAGAACATAAATTCATTATAAATACATTAGTATTTATAAGTGTTATTGATTTTAATCTTGAATTACTCATCAATATCTAATATGAACAATCACTAATGTCCATCTTCTCTTCCCATTGTTCTATGAAATTGTTAATTTCATTTATACTTAATCAATTAATTCTTTTGTGATACCTTTTTACATTATTATGATAGCAATAAACTGTTTTATGCAAGGTAGTTATGTACATGTTTTTACATCCATAAAACATGTTTTCTAAAACATCAAATTCATAAATAACCAAATACAAAATATGAAAATTAAAATGAAATCATAACAACTTCTTAACTTGAAACTTCAGAGTACAAAAGAATTAAATGATTATTGATTTTATAATAGAAGTACTCATAACCTCAAAGGTTTTTTTAACAATTTCATTAAAATATTTTTTGTCTTTGTAAATTGTTCTTTTTAAATTAGTTATTTTGTTTCAGTACCTATTAATACACCTGTCTCTTTACTACAATAAGTCCTCTTACTCTTTCAAAGAATATTGATTTTATTTACGTTATTAAAAAGTCCCAGTTTAAATTTCATTAGTACTGTAGTTAGAAGAGTATTATTATCAATTAGATTAGTTATAATTTAGATGAGAAACACATGTCTTTAATGAGTTTAAAAAGGTTAGTTTGTCTATTTGATTGTTTAAAAGCCATGTTCTAAAAGGATGGTTTATCTTTTAATGTTGTTATATGATTTTCTTTATGTTAGATAAATTTTATATTAATTTTATTGATTATTTAAAAAATTATTAACTTTTAAAGTAAAAATTAACATTTTAAAATGAATGAAATTTAAAAAAAGAATTAAAATATTAGTTTAATATTAATTTTAATTCTATTATTTTATCATAAAAACAAAAACTTAAAAAAAGAAAAAAAACTGAACTTAAATAAATATGAGTGAATCAATAGAAATTGTACCATATACCGGAGAAGAGCAAATAGGTTATATCATGGACTTAATGAAAAGGACATTGTCTGAACCATACTCTATCTATACATATCGATATTTCTTAAAAAGTTGGCCACATTTATGTTTCTTTGTTTGTTATTAATTCATTTAACTTTTTCAAAGAAAGTTCCAATAATAATATTTTAGGCAAAAGATAAAACAACAAATAAATATGTTGGATGTTGTATTGGTAAACAAAGTATTCAAAACAACCTTCAACAAGGATACCTCGCTATGTTAAGCGTTGAAGATAATTACAGACGTAAAGGAATTGCTACATTACTTTCAATGAAATTATTTAATACAATGATAGAAAATAAATGTGATAGAATTGTTCTTGAAACTGAAGCTGACAATGTCAGTTCTTTAGCATTGTATACTAAATTAGGATTTGTTAAAGAACAATTTCTAAATAAATATTATATGAATGGAAGTGACGCCTATCAACTTACATTAGCATTAAATCCTAATGGAGTAACAAAACAATTATCATTAATAATTGATGAAGACAAATAATTAATCTTGATTACATTTTTCTTCTTCAATAAATCCATCTAATTCTTCAGTTAAATTCTTCATTTTTCCTTTTAACAATCCAATTCTTTTCTCTTGTTTTTGTCGATAAGTTTTTTTATAAATTTTAATTTGCATTTCAAGCTTTTTTTTTTCTAATGTTTTAAATCTATTAGAGTCTTGTGTTGATTCAACTCTTCTTTGTTTTTCTAATTGACTTATATTTATCTCATCTTTCTTCATATCAAGTTCACCATTAACTTTAATTAATTCTATTACCTTTTCTTTCTTTTGATTATTTATTAATTGTTTTTTTTTCTCTAAATCTTGGACTTTCCTTTCTTTTCTTGTTTTATCTCGTTTTATCCTTTGAATTAAAAACTCATCATTGTCTTTAAGATCTTTTTCTTTTTCTTTAACCTCTTTTAGTCTCATTTCAGCTTCTTGATACTCTTCTTCTGCTTGACTATTTTCATGTAATAAATTAATTTCTTTTTCACTTTCTTTTTCAATTCTTTCTATCCTAAGGTCTGCATAATTCTCTTTATATTCTCGTTGCATGATAATGTCTTTCTTTTCCATTTCAATTAACTTCTTTTGACTCTCTATTTTTATTCGTTTCTTCCTTATTTGATTCTTTTCTTTTAGAAATTCTTTCATTTTTTTCTTTTCCATTTGTATTTTTTTCATCAACTTTTCAATTTCTTCTTCTTTTTCAACAACTTCCATTTCAGTTTGTTTATTTTGTTTTTTTACTTTAAGATAACTCTCTTCAACTTCTTTCTTTATCATTTTCAATTTCCCTATTTGAAATTCAAGTTCAATCACTGAACATGAAACTTCTTGAACTTGTTTATTCATTTCTTCGAACTCTGCTTTTTTTCTTTCTAACTGTCCTTTTTTTCGTTGTTCATTTCTCATCATTTCACTAGCTTCTGTATCTTTTTGATGTACTAACCGTTGAAGTTCTTTTTGTTGAAGATGAGTTTGAGTTATTGCTTTTTGAAGAAGAGCCCTTAATGAAGTTAGGTCTTGATACTTTTGAATTATATCAGATCGAATCATATCATTTTCTTGATTATATTTTTGAAGAGCCATTTTCATTTCATCTTCAGTCATGTCCACTTCTCCTAGTTCTTTTTCTAATAGAAGGATACGATCATTAAGCACCTCTTCCTCTGCTTTCATTCGGTCTTCATTTAATGAAAAATCATCTTCTATTTCTTTATCGCTTTCTTCAAAGTCATCGAATGGTGGACTTTGACTTGAATTATCGGTTGATTCTACTTCATCTGCTTCAATGATATGAAGTAACTTTTGTGTATTCTCTACATTAACTTCTTGATTCGGTAAGAACAGTCTCATCCATTGATGTACTGTATTTGTTATATCTTCTTCCTTTTCAATACGTCTCATAGAATATTTCATATCAATTAATGACATTTGCCATAACGTACTAAGAATTTGTGAATAAACTTCTTTTTTTGGTTGTGTCAAATCATCTGAAGTTAATGTAACCTTTGCTCCAAGTAATTGACATTGTTGTAAAACTATTTTATTATATTCAATCCTTTGAAACAAATTTCCCTCACTCATCGTTTTTAAGGTAGGAGTGTCATGAATAGAGTTAATAATTTTAGGCAATATGTATTGAGCCTCTTCAATCAGCTCTTGAAGAGAATTAGGTATTGTGCAATAAACATTTAAGAGTCCTATTAAAATAGGAAAGTCATAAACTTGTTGCATTTCCTATAAAATAGTCTCTAATGTCATTTTTTTGCTATTTTTATTTTTTTCATTTTTAAAAGAAAATTTAATTTATAATAAATTATGTTATAATAAATATTATAATTCTATAGGAACATCATCTATTTGATTCATTGTGCTTTGATGCATTGAAAATGTATTCAAAGGTTTATTTTTATTAACAGGAGTAGGGCTGATAGAAGTGTCTAATAATTTACATACTTTTAATAGAAGGACAGAACAGTCATTAACACATTTCATTTGGTCATCATGAACACAAATAACAGAACCATCTTGTTTAGTATTTTTTTCTTTTTCTTCCCTAAATTTCCTTTTGACACTTCTACATTTAGCAGTCAAAGGAACAACCCTAGAGTATTTTCCACTAAATTCACTTGCAAAAGTAAATGGTTGATGAATTCTGTTTGTGACGCATTGAATACCAATCCCTTCACTTTCACTAGCATCTTTTATTAGATCAATTAATGTTTGATCATATTTTTTAAAGAGAAATCCTTCTTTTGAATAACAAGAAATTGTTTCAGAATCATCAAGTTCATCTAAACAAATAATAGTCGTATTTTTTGGATTAAACCGTTCATCTTTTTTATGTCTCTTTAAAAATGCTCGAATTCCTTCATGACGTTCTCCAATAGAAGTTGTTATAAGAAAGATAACAGAATAATTCTCTAATACTGGAGAATTATCTTCTTTTAATCTTTGGGATAATTTCATTAAACATAAAGATGTAGCAAGTCCAGATACTTTATTTTTTTTTCCTTCAATATACATAGACATAGAGAAAAAAAGAATAATAGTAGAAATAATAGAAGCAATTGGTATCAAAACAAAATTGTTATACACTTCTCCAATGATAAAACCAATTAAGATAAATATAGTTAAGATATATAAACTAAAATGAACTAAAATTCCTGTTAGATGATACATAACTCCAGAATCTTTTCTTATATCAGAAATATGAGAAACGAATAACAATGTTCTTTTAGGGATATCTTCTTCATGCAAAGACCCATTTATTACTCCAAAAAGATTTAAAGATTGCTTACCTGGTAGAACAAAATCTAAAACAGAAAATTGCATTTCATATATCAACCAATAAAGTATTGTTCCTATTAAGGAAACAATAATTGTTGCTAATGGACTTAAAATACCACATACCATTATTCCAACAAAATATAATGAAATTAATAACCATTTATGTCTTGTAATATAGGGACAAATTTTAAAAGATTCTTCTTCAACAATATCACAGACCTTTTGTAATTCCCCTCTAAATTGTCCCATTGTGAGACTTTCATTTACTGAACCAAATGGACGATCAGAATATTGAGAAAGTAAATACTGTAATAATTTACTTGTAGATGAGTCTAATGGATAAGTTGGTTGATCCAATTGATCAGTTTCCATAGTGAATATATTAAAGTGAACTAATCTTTTTATATCAATCCTCTTTGAAAAGAAGAAAGGGTAATTTAATCTGGAGATTCAATCTTGTCAATGAATTAAATATTAATATAACGAAAATGTCTAAGAAATAAGAAAGAATTAATTCAAACAAGTAACTTTAAATAAATAACTCTGGATACTTATTTAATAAATCAGTGTGAGATGTAAATTCATAAGACCCATCTTTCCACCTAACATAGATTGTATTATTGAGTAACGACTTCCCAATAATTTTCATTGGAATATCTGAGGCTGAAAATATGGCATTATACTTGTTGAGTAAGTCTTTATATTCTGAATTTTCTAAATCTTGTTTCATTTCCCATGTTGATTCATGACAGTCCCATTGGACTAAATACTCTGTGATGTTCTAGTGTGTGATGTTAATTTTATATAAACCCAAATAGAACACCAAACAAACGTTTTGGATTCTATGAGATGTAATAACAGGGAATTCTTGTTTCAAGTTCATTAAATTTATTTACTAGTTTTAATGTATAATAAAAAATTGAAATAAAAAAAAGTATGCTTAGTTGGTAATAAAAAGATTTCCTTGAGAAAATTGTTCTTTTAAAGAATCTGGCAAATGAGTTTCAGCAACACCTTCCAATGAATCAATACTTCCTAGGTTATTAATAAACATTCTATTTAATGAAGTTGGTAACTTAACTATAATTCTTGATGTATACCTTGCTTCATTCATAAATAATTCATTTAAACAAATACATTTAGAGAGGTCAATAATCTTATTTTTTGGTGCTTCAACATCAGGACGAATTCCACCTTGAATTTCTAACCGAGTTGGTAAATACATTTTCAATAATTCGTAAAATCTAGGATCAGCTGTCATTTTTGATGATACCTGGAAATTATATGGACAGAATGGTAATAACACAACATTTGGTTTCATAAACAATGCTTCAAAGTCATCAAAGTTAATCATTACAATTCCTACTTTTTGTGTTGTATTACTAACTAATTCATTAACTTCTTCAATATCTTCTTTATGTAGCCAATCAATAATAAATATAACTTTTGTTTTCATTTGTAATTTTTTACTTAATTCTCTTAAATAATGTAATCTGTTTGAATCACATCTGATAATAACTTTATGAAGATAATTAAATTTAGGTAATTGTTCAAATAATTGTTCAATAATATTGTTGTTATAGTTTTGTCCAACTCTAATTACTATTTCTCTTAAACTAATTAAATTAGAGAAATTAGGATTAAACGTGTATGCTGTGTCAATTCCAATAGAACAGATTTTATCTGATAATTTACGAAATATAGCATAGTCTGACGATCCATTTTGCATCACAAATTTATGAACATTAATCAGTGGAATATTTTCAAGTGATTTAACGTTCATTTTTTCTAGTGAATTGTAATCTACATAAAACGTTTCAAGACCATCAAATACTTTTAATTCAAATAATGCATTCTTATATCTTGAATTGGAAATAGCAACAGCTAATGAATTAAGTCCATAACATGGATTAATTTTTGTTCTTGAAATAGCCTCAAGACAATCATGGTTTACTTGAACAAAAACTTTAAGAGTTTCAATACTATCTAAATATTTTACTACATTCATTAGATATACAACTTCTAATGACTACAAGTTAATATTTTATTTGTTTCTAATTAAATATCTTCAAACCATTGGTATGAATAAACTAATCGTTTCTAAGTTCTCTTTTTACACTAAAAAACGTTTCGCACTTAGATTGACTTTCTTTTTTTTTTTTAAGCTTTTCAATCATTATAATTATTTAATTATTTTTGATAAAAAGATACTTTGTTATTTGGTTTATTGAATTTTGATGTTTTTATAACTTCTGAATAACAAATGTCATTAATCTCTCAATAAGAAATATGGGTTTGTTTGGTATAAAGTTATCAAATCAATAAACGTCAGTTGAACTAATCAAAGGAGGATGAAAAAAAATCAACATACCTCCCAACAACTTCTAACTCTTAATTCCTATCTTATTAAAATTATGTTACTAAAAGTTAAATTATCCAAAAAATTAAACAACTGCGTGAAGTGTTATTGACACAACGACTTAGACTTCAATTAATTTAACAACAACATTAACAACTTGCTACTCTATCAACGCCAATTTAGATCGCTCTAACCAACTATAAGTCTTTAATTTCTCAATTAACCAAAATACAATAACAAACACTTTTCATAATTTTTGATTGTTTTGTTTCAATGACCAACACAAACTAAAACATCAATAACTAGTACTGTGTTTTTGTTAACCTGTTTATGTCTTTGTAATATTACCAATCAAATTTAATGCCTATGGATTGGGTAATTTGAGAAATTCTTACTTCAGCTCAACAAATTCGTTTTTAAGGTTTTTGTGAATTCCTTTAATATTGAAACGCTGTTCACTCAGCTATGGAGTATCTACACTACTGTTTTCTCCGATAATTTTTATCGTATGTGATAAGTTTGTTAAGAGTATTCTCATTGACAAGTAGTTTATGTACTATTCTTTTTATTATAACTAGCTGTTATTTTATTTGGTTTTTTATGTTCTTAATTCATTAAAACTTCCCATCAACTAAAGTTATCTGAGAACTTCAGGTTAGTTCTGTTGTACTAAAATAGAATGTAATAATGAAGATGAATATATAATAATAAATAAAGAATGTATTCATTATTCAAATATTAATAAATGTAAAGAAACAAAAAATAATAAATGTTCAAAATGTTCATTTTGGTATGGAATCAATGAAGAAGGAACAAAATGTAATAAAGAAATAATATGGTGGATGATAATGATAATTATCATCATTATACTTATTATCATCATTATAATAATTATAATTATAATTATAATGATTAATTACATTATAAAACGCAAAGAAAAGAAAGAACAAGAGAAAACAACAACAATATTTAAAATTTCACAATCAAATATCAAATTTATATCACTTGGAGATGGAATAATAACAAATAAAAAAGAAATAGAAATAGGAGAAGGAGAAAAAATTGAAGTAAATAAAGAAATCAGAGAATTAATATGTATTGGAAATGAAAAGAAAGAAAAAAAGAAAATACAAATAAGTAGTAAAGAAGAAAATGAAAAATATTCAATTAGAACAAACCCAAATATCATTACAATTGAAGGAGGATATGCATGTGAATTTGAAATATTCATTACAATCAAATGTACTACTAAAATTAAAGAACAAATAATGATAATTAGTAAAACACTTAATAAAACACAAGAAGAAATAATTAAAAGTATTTCAATTAAAGGAGAAACACAAATATCAACACGACTTGATCCCGATGAAATAAAAGAAGAAAATAAAATAGGAGAAGGAACATTTAGAATTGTATATATAGGAGAATTTAGAGGAAATCAAGTATCAATTAAGAAAATGAAACAAATTGATAAAGATGAAGATAAAATGAAAGAATTTGAGAAAGAAGTAATGATGTTAGATAAAATTCGAAGTGAATATATTATTCATTTTTATGGAGCAGTATTTATTCCTAATAAAATATGTATTGTAACAGAATATGCAAAATATGGATCAATACAAGATTTAATTAATAAAAGAACAAACACGGAAATACCTAATAAAATAAGAATTAAATTCATGATAGATGGAGCAAAATGAATTTCATATCTTCATTCAAATGGAATACTACATCGAGATATTAAACCAGATAATTTTCTTGTTATAACAATTGATGATAATATTGAAATTATTGTAAATTAACATATTTTTGAATTTCAAGAAACATTAAAATAATGATGACAAATATGACATTCACAATTGATAATGAACATCAAAATATAATACACATAAAATATTAAATCATTAACATTATAAAATAACATCCGATATATATTCATATTCAATAACAATGTTACAAATCATTACATGGCAAGATCCATTTCATAAAACAGAATTTAAATTTCCATGGAAAATAGCAGAATTCATATCAACAGATAAACGATCAATAATAATACAAGAAGTTGAAGAAGACATTAAAGAAATTATTGAAAAAAACATAGAAACAGGAAGCAAAAGAAAGAATAAGAATAGAAGAAGTTGTAAGAATGTTAGAAAGAATTGAAAATAATAAAATCTAAGAAATAAAGTGAATGTAGGAAATGATATTTTATAATAATTAGTTTATTATTATTTGTTTTATTGTTAATTATTGAAATTAATGGTAATTCTTATCATTGTTAATGTGTATATTTTTATTATTCTTTATTATATTATTATTTCTTCTTTTGTATTTATTTTATTATTTCTATGTGAAATTATTTATAATGTTGTTATGATATTTCATTGAATATCTTTGTTATTATTATTGAAAATTGTATAATAATCTTTTGAATGTTTAAATTATTTAAAAGTATGTTATCTCATCATTTTCTATCACTTGAATATTTTTGTTATTCTTAATAATCATTTTATGAGTGATTCTTTCTTGAACTAAAAGTAATTGGAATGATGATATAATTGTTAATATATATTTAACAATATCATACAATTAATTTAGTGATATTAACAAGTTATATAATTCTAATTGAATAAAATAAGTATAGTTGAAAGTATTAGAATGGAAATTAACAATACTAATAAATAATGAATTAGATAATACAAATAACAGAAACACAGATAACATTAAATAATGAAAAAGATAAATTAATAATTAAAATAACTTCACTCACATGAATAACTAAACATAAAATAATAAATAAAAATAAAAGAAATAGAGATGAGAATGTAATAAATAATTAAAGAAAAGAAAACACTAATGAACAAAAGAATGATAAAAATCATAAAAGTTGAGAAGATGAAATAATGAATAATCTGAAATAATATTATTTTACTATTAATTATAAAATTAATTCTAAAAACTATTAAATTATTTTATTTTTATTATTTATTAATAATATTTAAACTATTTCACTTTTATTTCTTCATTTTATTATTAATTTAATAAAAATTACTATTTTTTTATTTATAAAATAAAACTATAATAATAATATTAAATATTGTAACATTTAACTATATTTTATTTTTTGTTATTTGTAATAATGAAACACAATTTATCTTGATTATTCTATCCATGAGATACTAAACAATAACCACTATTAAAGAATTATGAGAACGAATAAAATTGTTCAGCTTTTTTTATTGAATAAAAGGGATTAATATCTTTTCATTTATGTATGGTTATTACTTCTTCATAAAGAGAAATACTCTAAGCATACATTGGTAGTTATCATTTTACATATAAAGAAATACAGTTATTGTGATTTAATTGATAATGGTATAAATTAGAATGAAATTTAGTGTAATCTCATTGTTTAACATTTTTATTACAACACACTTGTTCATGATATCGTTGACTTATAGTTTATCTAATTTTTTTCTTAATAACCAATACAAAACATTAGGAATAATAATTGTCATTAATTTACTGTAACTTCTATTGTATTTCAATAGTTTTTAAGAATAGAAATACCTTAACAATCAATATTACTATTTTTTTTAATTCAGAGGAAGGAATTAATTGTAACATCTTCATACATTGAGTAGTTATTAAATGTAAGACAAAAACAATATTAATATCCAATGAATGATTATGTTTGGTATTTACTCAAAAATTAAACCTAAACATACATATAATTACAAAAACACTTCTTGAATTACAATGAATTACAATTCTATTTTTTAAAATAATAGAATATTATGAATTAGTACAATTTACAGTGAAAAAAAAAACTAATACAGTATTGAAATTTTATAAGTTTTATTTAAAGTATACATAAATGTATAAAAGATTCAAAAAGAATCCAAATAAATTACAAATAATTAAAAAAAAGACAAATCAAAAGGTAACAAGAATGAATTATTAATTAGATTAAATTTAAATATA